CAACTACTACATGTGGTCATCTAGAAGCAATTGTTACTCATCATAAGTTACCAAATCAAAAAAAAAAAAAAAGGGATGCAAGAGCAGGCCTACAGATAATAATAAACTATTGTCTCTTTCTCACAAAGACAGACACTTTCCACAAAGAAATACTTTGTCTGTATCAAAAACCATATTACCACATGACCCAGACAGAAACAAGAATTCATAATTATTACCAATGAGCCACCAAATTGGAAGTAATCCAATAGCTCATCAACTTTCAGTTTTCTGTATGTAAGTGTTTCCTTAAAGAACCCCTAAAACAAAGCCAGTGTAGATTTCACAGCCTAAGACATTACCATTTATTTCATATAATAGCTTAGAATAGATTATTCTACTATAAATTTCAGTTTTTATCAAATCTGTTTAATATTTATAGAAAGGAAGCCTGCCTCTTAATAACAAGTCTATTGTTTTGTTTTGCCTCCTATAAAATCATAAATTCAAAACTAAGGGACCATTCAGACCAGCTGAACATACAGGAAAATTCCTACAGCACTACAACCAAAACAAAACAGAAGGCCTGCTGTGAAAAACAAAGTAATCCAAAAGACAGTTAAGGGAAACATTTCCCCAAAAGGGTTCATCTAAACCAGCAGTACAATCAAAACTGAACACTTCTGCAGAACAATGTAAAATACCTCACTGCAGCTAAAGATGCAGACAATAATGCAGAAATGGTTATAGAGTAGAAAGAAAGCTTTTAACATCAAGGTGGACCTTAGAATGGTCCAACTGCCACCCACCACCCATGAAACGAGAAACAAGAAAGGATTTCTGTATCACGATTTGATTTCTTCAATACAGTAACAAGAAGCTCTAACTTTCAAGATAAATTTAAAGCATTAGTGGGGAAAGCCACAACAAGAAACTGAACATTTGGGAATGGGAGTTAGCTTCTTCTTAAAGGTAATAACCAGGGTAGCATAGACTGTGGCTCTATCTAAAATGAACATTTAAAGCAGTTTCAAAGTAGAATTGGAGCAAGTGGTTTCACTGTGTGGATGATTACATAGAAAATCCTGGAACCTGTTTAATAGCAATTACAAAGCACAGGTGCACATTAAGGGCTATCTGACTGTTGCTTGCTTTTGTGGCCCACACCAGTATGAAGCCAGCTTCCAACTGCATTAAATGGCCAGTGTAGATAGGGTCTATGACTTGGTGACCTTGACCATGGAGGCCCACTGGGTGACCTTGAGCAAGTCACATTCTCTCAGCTTTAGAGGAAGGCAATGGCAAACCTGTTCTGAACAATTCTTGCCAAGAATACATTGTTAGAGCAGAAGTTCTCATAATGTGCTCCGCAGAGCCCTTGGGGCTCAGTGAAGTGTACTGAGAGGATCCGTACTCCCCTGCCTCCAACCCACTCCAAGCTTTCCCTCCTCTTTTCCACTCCCCCTTTCCCTTGCTGCCAAAAGCTCTTTATCCTCACCTTCCCTGCAGCCCAGATGTTTTCCCTCTTGACTTCCATGTTTCCAAAGCCCTATTTCCCTCCCGCCACTCAGGGGGTGTTTTGATTGTACTTTCCCTGCATGGCAGAAGGTTGTTGAACTGGATGGCACATGGGGTTTCTACTGTTGCTGTTATTGTTGTTAAAGTTGAATGGCCATCTGTTGGGGTGCTTTGATTGTGCTTTTCCTGCATGGCAGAAGGGGGCTGGATGAGATGGCCCCTGTGGTTGCTTCTATTATTATTATTATTATTATTATTATTATTATTATTATTATTATTATGGCTGGGTGGCCATATGTTGAGGTGCTTTGATTGTGCTTTTCCTGCATAGCAGAAGGGAGTTGGACTAGATGGCCCCTGGGGTTACTATTCTTATTATCTGTAATGACAAGGCTGGACGGCCATCTGTTGGGGGTGCTTTAATTGTGCTTTTCCTGCATGGAAAATGAGGGTTGGGTGAGATGGCCCCTGGTATTACTCCTATTACTATTATTGTTATTATGAAGGCTAGATGGCCATCTGTTGGGGGTGCTTTGATTGTGCTTTTCCTGCATGGCAGAAGGGGGTTGAACAAGGTGGTCCCTGAGGTTGCTCCTATTATTATTATTATTATTATTATTATTATTATTACAAGGCTGGATGGCCTTCTGTTGGGGGTGCTTTGATTGTGCTTTTCCTGCATGGCAGAAAGGGGTTGGACGAGATGGCCCCTAGGGCTGCTCCTATTACTATGATTACTATCACAAAGGCTGAATAGCCATCTGTTGGGGCTGCTGTTAAGTTTATGTTGGTTAAAACTGTCCTTCATGTTTAATATTGTATTGTTCTTTCCTCTTTTTTGCACTACAAACAAGATATGTTCAGTGTGCATAGGAATTTGTCATTTTTTTTTTCAATTAGTTCACATCACCACTCTCTCGCCAGTCACCTGCCACTGGCCTGGCCCACCGGTCAAATTTTAAAACACAATGCGGCAAAAAGTTTGCCCATTCCCTATATATATATATATATATATATATATATACACACACACACACACACACACTATATACAACATACTGCCTGATAGATATATATGTATGTGTGTGTGTGTGTATATATATATATATATATATACACACACACACACCCCTACATACTATATACCATATAAAATATTTATTTATTTATTTACCATATTTATATACCGCCCCTCTCAACCCGGAGGCAACTCGAAGCGGTTTACAGTCAGCAGTCAATGCTCCCAAACAACATAAATACAGTTAAAAAAATACATATAATATATACCATATAAAAGCAATAAAACAATAAAAACCATAAAACACAAGTCCTCAGCGTCTCATCACTAGAATCATTTTTCCGTCGCATCATCCAATCGCTCCGTGGATCTCAATGAGTCTGTTACACTGCATCTGCAAATGCCTGCTCAAACAGCCAGGTTTTGACTCTTTTTCGGAATGTTAGGAGGGAAGGCCGATCTAATATCCCTAGGGAGGGCGTTCCATAGCCGAGGAGCCACTGCTGAGAAGACCCTGTCTCTCATTCCCGCCAACTATATACTATTTACAATACTATGTACAATGGAATATAAAGACATTTATTAGGGTTCCATGAGAAACTTTTCTTCAAAATGGGCTGAAAAAGTTTGATAACCCTTCCGTTAGCGTGTCAGCAAAATTTGGAAAAGTCTTGAAGGCATGCAGTAGCAGAAATAACAGTATAACACAGACCTGGGCAAACTTGGGCCCTCCAGGTGTTTTGGACTTCAACTCCCACCATTCCTAACAGCCTCAGGCCCCTTCCTTTTCCCCCCAGCGGCTGAGGGGGAAAAGGAAAGGGCCTGAGGCTGTTAGGAATGGTGGGAGTTGAAGTCCAAAACACCTGGAGGGCCCAAGTTTGCCCAGGTTAAGCGGCTGAGGGGGAAAAGGCGTTAAGCGCTTAAGCGGCTGAGGGGGAAAAGGAAGGGGCCTGAGGCTGTTAGGAATGGTGGGAGTTGAAGTCCAAAACACCTGGAGGACCCAAGTTTGCCCAAGCCTGATGCAGACCCATATGATACAGTCTGAATTGCACTGTATGGGTCTACACTGACCCTATAATGTAGTCCAAACTGCATTAAATGGCAGCGTGGACCCAGCCTCGGACTCTGAAGACCTGAGTTCGACCTTGGGAGAGTCACACTCATTCAGCCTCAGAAAACCCCGCCACCATTTACAACAACAACAACAACAACAAAAGGTTAAGAGGAGTGCAAGAAACACAGTAAAGGTGCCTCTCCTTTCGGGACAAGGAGACTCACAACAGCGGCAGGAATGTGAGAATCTGGCCAGGTGCAAAGCCCAAGCATATGGAGGAGCCGAGGGAGTCAGAGGACATACTCACGAACAGCGCCTGCTCGCACTCCCTCTCTCTTTCCTCTCGCTCTCTTCCTCAGAACAGGCTCCTGCTACTGACGCTCTCCCTCCCCTTTTCGCCAAGAGCCGGACGTGACGTACAAACCCACGGTCCAACGCAAGGTGCGCCGGAAGTGGGCCTTTGAAGAGGAGCGTGTGGTGCAGGGCCGCTGAGATGGTGAGTGGCTTTCTAAACCCCGAGGTTTACAAAGGCCTAGTCGGCCCAGGTTATCTCTTCGCTTCTTCAATATGTTCTGAGCATTCTTTCCCCCTCACCTCCCGAAATGTGTTTTGTGTGGTGGAGTCTCTGGAGGTTTGAAAGCAGAGGTTGTATGGGCATCCGTCGGGAGTGTTTTGCTTGTGTCTTCCTGCATGGCGAAACAGGGTTGGATTAAATGGCCGTGGGGTCTCTTTTATGGTTCATTAGCCGTCCCCTGCCATGCGTTGCTGTGGCCCTGTATGTATATATGTGTTTTGTGAGTGTATATATGGTGTTTATGTCTGTGTATATATTTGTGCATTTGTGTTCATATGTGTATATGTATATTGTGTGTGCTTGGATATATGCATATATGTGTGTGTGTGTGTGTATGTGTATATGTATATACACAAAGGTCTGGAGAACAAGCCCTATGAGGAGCGGCTAAAGGAGCTGGGCATGTTTAGCCTGAAGAAGAGAAGGCTGAGAGGGGATATGATAGCCATGTATAAATATGTGAGAGGAAGCCACAGAGAGGAGGGAGCAAGCTTGTTTTCTGCTTCCCTGGAGACTAGGACGCGGAACAATGGCTTCAAACTACAAGAGAGGAGATTCCATCTGAACATGAGGAAGAACTTCCTGACTGTGAGAACCGTTCAGCAGTGGAACTCTCTGCCCCGGAGTGTGGTGGAGGCTCCTTCTTTGGAAGCTTTTAAACAGAGGCTGGATGGCCATCTGTCAGGGGTGATTTGAATGCAATATTCCTGCTTCTTGGCAGGGGGTTGGACTGGATGGCCCATGAGGTCTCTTCCAACTCTTTGATTCTATGATTCTATGTGCTTATACTTATATAAGCATATACATATATGCTTATATAAGTATATATTTGTAGGTGTATATGTGTGTATATGTGTATATTTGTGTGTGCTTGCATATATATATGTGTGTGTGTGTGCATGTGTATATTTCTGTGTTTATATGTATATTATGTATATGTGTGCTTGTGTATATACATATATGTGTAGGTATGTGTGTGTAGGTGTATATGTAGGTGTGTATATTTGTGTGCTTGCATATATGTGTGTGTGCATGTGTATATGTATTTTTCTGTGTTTATATGTATGTTATGTATATGTGTGCTTGTATATATACATATATGTATTTATTAGGGCTGGGCTGTTTCGTTCGTTAATTTCGTAATTTGTTATTAATTCGTATTTAAATTAGCTTACGATCCGATATTGAGCCATGCAGGAATAGTGTGAGGAGTAATCAAAAATCAAAACAATTTTTCCAATTTATTTCGTATTGTTTCGTAATTGGTTCGAAATTGTTTCGTAATTATTTCCGTATGTCTGGTGCAAGTTTTATAGTTGTTGTTTGTTTTATCAGTGATAAAAAATAAATTATCACACCAACAGTCAACAACAGAGGGAGAGGGAAGCTTCAGAAGTTCCCCCTGTCCCATTTGGAGGTTTTTTTAGCATATTGCGCAATCGCGTCCGCCATTAACGAATTGATTCGAAATTAACAAAATTTCGTAAATAACAAAATTTTGAAATCTCAAAATTTCAGAAGTATTTAGAATTTGGAAACGCTAGCGCCCCCTGGAAACGAATCGAGTTTAGAAACAAATTTTTCCGTGGTTACCCAGCCCTAGTATTTATATATGTGTAGGTATGTGTATATGTGTGTAGGTGTATATGTAGGTGTGTATATTTGTGTGTGCTTGCATATATGTGTGTGTGTATGTATGTGTGCTTGTGTATATGTATATATGGTTTATTTTGGAGGGTTTTTTTGTGTGTCTTTTTAGGGGTGATGGACACTCATTGGCCTGATAGGTGTCTTGTGACCAAATTTGGTGTCGATTCGCCCAGTGGTTTTTGAGTTATGTTAATCCCACAAACGAACACTACATTTTTATTTATATAGATTGAGCACCCCAACAATAAAGAATAGCTTGAGAGAGGCGCCCCTTTTTGCCCCATGGCCTTTCCGCTTTGAGTCAGCTCTTTGTTTTCTTCTCTCTGGGTGCATCTACACCAGGCCTATGCAAACTTGGGCCTTCCCTCCAGGTGTTTTGAACTTCAACTTCCCCAATTCCTAACAGCCTCAGGCCCCTTCTTTTTCCCCTGGCAGAGGGGGAAAGAAGAGGCTTGAGGCTTTTAGGAATTATGGGAGTTGAAGTCCAAAACACCTGTAGGGCCAAAATTTGCCCTGGCCTGATGTACATTGTAGAATGAATGTAGTTTAACGCCACTTTTAACTGCCATGGATCAATGCTATGGGGTCCTGGGAGTTATGGTTTGATTTTTGCTGTGTATGTGTCAGGAGCAACTAGAGAAACTGCAAGTCTCTTCTGGTGTGAGAGAATTGGCTGACTGCAAGGACATTTCCCAGGGGGTGCCCAGATGTTTGATGTTTTACCATCCTTGTGGAGGGTCTCAATGGGGAGCTGGAGCTGCGGAGGTAGCTCAACCCGCTCTCCCCGGATTTGTTGTTGACTATAGCGCAGGCATGGACAAACTTTCAAACTTAGGAGGGGTGGGGTGAGCGACCCAAGAGGGAGAGTTATCTCCAGGTCCCTTCCCTGCACTTTCCTCCCCTCTTTCGGAGGCAGAAAGTGAAGAAAAGACAGGAAACATTTGGATACCAAAAGGGGTTAGCCTTGGTCAGGATATTCTTGGACGGAAGATAAAAGTGTATTCATTAGACTCCATATCGCTTACTCCTGATATATAATCCTAGAATGCTATAGCTGGAAGAGACCCCCAAGTGCCATCCAGTCTAACCCCCTGCCATGCAAGAAGGCACAATCAAAGCACTCCCCGACAGCCTCTGCAGAAAAGCCTTCAGAGAAGGAGACTCCACCACACCCCAAAGCAGCCTATGCCACTCTCCAAAAGGTCTTACTCTCAGGAAGTTCTTCCTAATCTTTACAGTCAAATTTCTTTCCCTTCCATTTGAAACCATTGCTCCTTTGTGCTCTGGTCTCTAGAGAAGCACAAAGTCAGTTTTTCCTCTCCTCAATGGGACACCATTTCAAATCTTGAAACATGGTTTTCATGTTCCCTATCTACCTTGTCTACTCCCAGCTAAACATCACCCAGGAGGAAAGGAGGAAGGAAAAGAGAAGGGTGGAAGGGAATGAATGGAAGGGAAGGAAGGACTAAAGGGTGGAAGGGAAGGAAGGAGGCAGGGAGAAAGTGGGAGGTAAGAAAGGAAGGGAAGGAGGGAGGAAAGAGAGAAGGAAGGATAGGATGGTGAAAGGGGGGGGGGTGAGAAAAGACCCCCAAAGGGCTGCATCTGACCCCTGGACCTGGGTTTGCCCATACCAGCTATAGAGCCATGTTAAAAGACAGAAATTTCTAGAGAGGTGTTCTCTCAAGTAAAAAATAGCTATTTCTTTACTTTTTCACTTGTTTTTCACTTTTATGGGTGTCCTGTGTCCTTGTATTTACATATGCATAGACAGTGATGTATCTTGAGGATGAGACCCAAGTCTTAACACAAAATTAACTTGTTTCTGTATTTCATTTAACTTGTTTCTTATACATATAGTCTGAAGTTAGTTTAATACAATATTTGTTAATAATGTTGTGCCTGAAACAAAGTTTGTGTACATTGACAGTGGGGGTGTCACGATTTCAGCCATCAATGTAGACAGTATTGGATTTTGGAGTATGTGGTTGTATAGGTGGGATTAGAGTTAAACGAAATACAGAAAATAACAGTATGTTCTTCAAGGTACCACAGGATTCTCATTTCTGCTTTGCTGTTAGAAAGAACTAGAGAGGACGTTACATACTTCTTCGGAATAATGATTTATTATGAACTTGTAGGGGAAGCAGAAGAAAACAAGAAAATATGCTACCATGAAACGCATGATCAGCCTCCGTGACCAGCGACTGTGAGTACTATTTAAAGAATGTGTATTTGTGTTGAACTCTGAGAGGTTTGTACAGTTAACTGATCTGACATGTTTATAGTTTATTCCCATATATATTTAAATGAAAACATATAAAATCTGTTAATGTATAATGTTTAAGTTAAGATTAAAAAATGTGTCTTGCCTTATTTGGTACAGGTTTTTTTTAAAAAAGACAAATACTTACAAAAAGAACAAAGACAATTTTAAAAAGTCATTTCCCCCTCCAGTTCCTTTAATACATTTATCCCTCTTGTAATATTAGGACTATTCTAATTTATACTCACACTTATGTTGATTCAGTTTGCTTTCCCTCATAGCTCCATTTAAGAAGCAAACATTCTCTTTTTAAAAGGTTGAGTGGGAGAGTTACAGTCACAAGGGTGACTTTCGGCAGAGCTAGTATGTCCCCTGAGCACTTTTATTTGTATTCATTGCCTAGGAATGAGAAACTTTGGGCAATGGATAGGCATCTTATGAAAAGGGTTTCTTGAAGGAGAGAGGATTAAAATTATCACTGAAAGGGGGAAAAGAACTCTTGAAGCAGAGTACTTATTTGTTGGTGCTTTTCATGTTAAACATTAAATTTAAAAGGGTGACTAAACTTTTTTATCTTATATTCAGAATTAAATCATACAGATAGGACCATTTTAATATCCTTCCCTCCCCCAACTCTAATGTTTGGTTGGCAGCTGTAATAAGTAAAATGTATTTATGTTTATATTGTGAATAAAATGAAATTTCTAGACACCAAAGAGAAGTCAAATTTTTGTCAGGTTTTAAGTTGAAAGAGAAATCGAAGGAAAACTGCTGTATTTACTAGAGTATAATGTGCTAGAAAATGTAATGTGGACCTCATTTTTTAAGGTGTGCTGTGCGTTACCAAAAAAAGGGTTTGCTGTCGAATGTAATGTGAGGCAGTGGTGGCTGTGAAAAGGCTAGTCGGAAGCCATGCCCCCTTCAGTAGGCCTAGTAGGAAGCTGGTAGTGGCCACAAAAAGGCTGGTGGGAAGTCACAACCCTCTTCCTAGCTTTCCCAACAGCCTTTTTGCAGCCAACATCAGCTTCCCAGCAGCCTTTTTGTGGCCACCTCTGCCTCTCCGCCCTCTGTCCACAGTTGGGATCTCTTGCCCATCAGTGCAGGCGGGTTTAGGTGTGCCATTCTAACGTGCCATCGAATCTAATGCACACCTCAATTTTAGTGATATAATTTAACCAAAAAAGGTGAGCATTGGACTTGAGTAAATATGGTATTTACTTAGAGTATGACCCTGATTATCCATGGATTTGATATCAACCATTTCAGTTATCTATGCACCAAACAAACATTCCTCCTGGAAGTGTTTGTAGGTCTCTCTAGAATGATCCTCCAGTATGATTCTATGGTGTGTTTGAGTCCCAAGTATAATTTCGCAAGAATTCTGAGTTTCAGAAGGAGTATGACAACATATCCCCAGAAAATATGAGGTCTCACTGTATGTCATTATTTTTATGTTTTGATAACAGGAGATAATGTATAAAAACATTTTAACTTATTGTCATTTTTAGAAAAGAGGCAGATCGAGCAAAACCCAAAGAGAAAAAGAAGAAAGACCCGAGTGCACTCAAAGAGAGTGAGGTGTAAGTATTAATTTATTCACTTCTCTTTTCCTCATAGGGATAGCATGAAATGACCAAATATGAGCACAAAACTCTGTATGTGCAATCTGGGGTGCTCATGGATTAGCACCAGTCCACAGACCACCACTTTCCAGTCAGTTCTTCACTGCAGTATATCACCCACACAGACAGCCCTTCACAGAGTGACTAATACAGTTTAATACAGGAGGAAAATTGGTGCACTAAAAGGATTGTCAAATGACAGGTAGTTAGAAATGATTTGAGCCAAGGATGAAGTTTGTTGTAGGAAAAAAAGCAATGTTTCCAATGTCATTTCCAGTCAGACATGCAAAAAAAAAAAACCATACCGGTAACTCAAATACTGAAAATGAACCCATTTCCAGGGGAAAAGGTGTGGACAATCATTCCATCCTATTTCTGGTTGTGACATTTTCTAGTTTCAGAGAAATTGGGCAATTTCTTATGAAGACTTCAAAATAAAACCAGCATGGGGTTTTCTTGGCAAGATTCTTCAGAAGGTGCTTGTCATTGCCTTTATTTGAGGTTGAGTGTATGTGTAGGTTTCCATGGCCAAATGGCAGTTTAAATTCTAAACTCCCAGAGTTCTAGTCAACACAAACAACTAAGTTACATTCGTTCTCTTCCTTCTTAATAACATATATTTAAAGATTCAGAACTTAAGTCTTGATTGGATGTACCATCATATTTTAACTTTCATGTACATATTGCTGACATTTTAAACAGATTTTCTGAAAACATGAGGGTCACAGTATTCTTTGAACTGTTTAAATTAACTGACGTTTATATGCCAAGGAATAGCACTTCTGGAATATTGTGCACCATGTGTATACAGTATGTTTTATTTCACTGTTTTAAAGTTTTCTTATGTGCTTCTTTTTCAGCCCTAAATATCCGTCTTGTTTATTCTTCCAATACAACACTCAACTAGGACCTCCTTACTATATCCTGGTTGATACCAATTTCATTAATTTTTCAATTAAAGCCAAATTGGATTTGGTGCAGTCAATGATGGATTGCCTTTATGCCAAATGTAAGTATCTACATCTGTTGCAATTTCTTCTAACGGTAGTATTATGATAAGGTAGCAAACTATGAGAAGTTCCAGTTACAAAGAACATTATTGAGGCAGATATCACAATGAAGGACTGGGTTCTCATACTTACTGTTTATTTATCTAAAAATCTGCTATTAAGTGCTTTATTATTTGATTGGCAAGTGCACCTGCGTTTATTTAAAATTTATTAACATTTTGTTAGAATGTTGAAAAGTAAGCAACATTTCAATTAACAAACTTGATAAACTGATAATTATGGTCAAAGAACATTTTGTAATGTGTTTTCTTTCTGATGTATAGAAAACCTACATTAGATGTTTACAGAAAAAGAAACCAGTCAGCTGAAAAATTCGCTGTGTAATTATGATAATCTTCTGTGCATCTTTCATGGATACTGTCTCAACGAGGTTAATAAAGTGACTGCATGAGTAAATATGTAGAGATTTGAAACCTAAGTCATTTCAGAATGTGTTACCTGTAATAGAATGCTGCTGTGCTGGTTTGTAATATTATAATGATATTCTTTTCCAAAAGGTATTCCCTGTATCACGGATTGTGTTATGGCTGAAATTGAGAAACTGGGGCAGAAGTATCGTGTGGCCCTCAGGTAAGTACATGTTGGCTAAGTTCTGTTTTTCATTTTATTTTGTAACATCTGTGGACACATTTGTTGGTGTCTGCATGTCTGCCTGCCACTTTTGATTCCACCCTCAAACTAGTGTTTTGGGTTTTAGAGCTCAGATTTCTTCTGCCTTTCATTTAAACGAATTCTCAGGCCTGTTACTTCTCTTTCCTAGGAAAGTAATAGGGAATGATTATTTTGTGTGACTGGCCATACTCAACATGGCAACCCTTTGTGAATTGGCAAACCTCTCAGCAGCATCTGTTTTGTTAGAGGTTCTCAACACTTGCTGAAAAAAATTAAAAAGCAAACTTGGAAATCCATGCCTAAAGCATAAATATGTAGAATTAAGGTTCATCCTTAATTCAAGATCTGGTTTCTTTATTCTGGTATGTTTTAATGGTTGCCTAGTACCTAATTTTCATTTTTTTTTAATTCTACAGGATAGCAAAAGACCCCCGATTTGAACGCCTACCATGCACCCACAAAGGGACTTATGCAGATGACTGTCTGGTACAGAGAGTCACTCAGGTATCTCTTGTAGGAGTTTCTGCAGTTTGTTGTTGACATCCAGAAGTATGTGAAGCCATGTAATTTTACTGCCAGTAACTTGAAAGAAGCCAGTACTCAATGATGGTGCTTCCCTACACTGTAGTTAATGCTGCTTAATTAATTAGAATATATCATAATTGCAAACAGATGACCTCTCATTACATGAATAAAATATTTGTCCAAATTACTGATTATTTGGAAATTTCCCGCTTCAAGAAAATTCAAACATCTGGTTTATTTTCTTAATATAAATCTGTTCCCTTTTTCCCCACAGCATAAATGTTACATAGTAGCTACTGTAGACAGAGATCTCAAGCGAAGAATACGAAAAATACCAGGAGTCCCCATAATGTATATATCGAATCATAGGTGAGTAAGGTTCCAAGCTGTTACAGGTGACAAATTGTAATTTGCAGCTCATTTTGTAATAGTGGATTTTGAATCTCTGGCAGCAGGTATGTGTATTTACAGATTATCTGAATTGTGTAGAGGCGATTCTTAGTAGTAATAAAAGCTATAACATGTTTACATTTGTAGTGGTTCCATTTGGAGCTTGATGCTGAAATCAATACAAATGTATCTAGTTTACTGAACAACTATATGTTATCTGGCTACATAAAATTAAAACAGAATGCTGAACACTTCTGCTTACAAGTTAAGTTTTGTTGAGTTCAGTGGAGCTCACCTCCAAGAAATTGTGGTTATGAAAGGAGATAGTCTTATATGGGAGATTGATGGTACCTCAGTAAACTCACTTTCTTGTATAGTGGATGAACCTTGAGGCTCATGACTGAACATACCCAAAATTCAGATTGTGAGATAAGATAAAATACATGATCCCAGTTGCTCACAAGTATTTATTTGTAAATCAAATTAATAAATAGGAAAATCAATGATAACTTCAGATACAGTTACAGGTGAATATATTTTGCAAGTTTGTATCTATTATATCAAATTCAAATAAACCTAAAATATAACCTATATGTGTTTATTCAGAAGTAATCCCTGTTGAGTGAAATAGAACTTCCTCTGAGGCAAAAGGGGTATAGATTTGTAACTTAAGTCATGTAATTGCATTTGCTTACATGCAGCTGTCTTATTCTTGTACCTCACGTCTCCCTATTCTCACTCATGAAGGTGAAATATTTACTTTCCTTGTAGCATCTGTAACCTGTACATCTGTAATCATTACTCTAAATACATATGGTACTATATATTGCATTTCTGCAGTATTTGTAGCTCTTATTACTTGCTGTTCACCATTTGAGTGCTAACATTTCGTTTGCTTAGGTATATTGTTTATTGATTGGTTTAGACCATATACTATTATATTAAAGGATTCAAAGAGGTATATAATACTACCAAACTCCATGTCTTACTATATGTTTACAGTGCACCTTAGTGAAAATGCGATGCAACACTTCACAAAAGGCTTCTTCTCTCATTTTAGGTATAATATTGAGCGGATGCCTGATGACTATGGAGCACCTAGATTTTAACCTACCTCTGGAAAGAAACAAAACATGCCTGTTACTTTCATTTTTCAAATATTGAATCTGTTCTAAGGTTCCTTTTTTTCTAATTCCCTTCCTGTGATGCTTGGTACTGGTTCTTAAATGTCTTTTCCAGGGGGGAAAAACCACACAACGCAATCTTTTTTCCTGCTTTATGATCCAGAATAAATATTCCTCATTAACTAAAAGTAGATTTCTTTATTTGACTCCTTTATCTGATCACATGCATTTAAATTACGTTTGCACATGACACTCCTTTGTGATGTGTTAGGATGGGCCTATTAGGGTTAATTCAAATTTTTGTTTACTTTCTGTCAATTACAGAAATATATAATGTTCTGTAAATAGAAGCTTTGTAAAAAGTCTGGTGTGTCATCAAATTACAATTTGTTCCAATCAACTCTGTTAATTGATATTCTGCAAAATTAGCACCACGCGAGTTTTCAGTTTTCCAAAATTATAAGGAATAGAGACTCTGCATTTAAATTTAGTTTGGGGTAGATTATGGGTGCATCCACACAGTAGAAATTTGATACCACTTTAACTGCCATGGTTCAATACTGTGGAATCATGGGAGATGTAATTTTACAAGATTTTAACCTTTTCTGCTAGGCGTTGGCATCTCACTGAAATACAAATCCCATGATTCCATAGCATTAAGCCATGTCAAAAGTAAATTAGAGTAAAAGCACTCCAAATCTAAGTAACAATTTAGTCCCATTATCAGTGGAACAAGCTATACACTAAAGGAAGGGTACGGAATCTGGTTTTGTTGTGTTCCATTATCTCTGATCATGTAACTGATGAGAGTTGAATTCCAACAAATAGTAGGACTACATGTGCCTATTCTTATAGGAAAACATTAATAATCTAGTCTGCACCCAACCTTGTATATTTTATCATATTTTGTAAATTCTGAGGAAACAGAATTTAGTAATTCTACTTAGAAGTTATATGGTTAAAGGAGTTTTGCAAATAAGTGAATAAGCCTAAATGAGTCAATAAAACAAAGAGCCTTATCCAGTGTTTTAGAAATCTGTCTTTCCTTCCTTCCATTTTGTGTATTAATGGTTCACAACAGGTATATAGAGATATTTTTAAAATATTTTTAAAATATGTTCTAAGTGCAGCTGTTACGTACTAAAAGTGACTGCCTTACATCTGGAAATCTTTGTCCTTAATGTGAAAAACCATGTGGATTGAGAATATGTCTTCACAGTAATAAATGGATCAAGCCTCTATATCTGGAAGACAATCCTACTCAGCCACAAGCGATTGCCTATGATGATGATGATGACATCCTATAGTTGAATGCACTGATTAGATTTGTAAACTGACATAAGACAGGATTGGGGGGGGGGGGGTAGCTTATCTATAAACACTTAGTATGGATTGCCTCAATAAAATAGCCTCCCAAGTATTATTACATATCACAAAGTTGTACTGTGTTCAGTATTTACTGGTATACACCTCAGTTTAAGATTACTTGTCTTTGATTACAGAGATGCTGAATTCTGATTCATAGTATAAAATTGACATAGGTAGAAAAGATGTAGCTTCAGCCGAAATCATATATATGCTGGATATAAGTCTCAGTTAAGTTTAATTCTCACTGGGTGCAATGCCTAAAGACCTTGGCCTGCATTTAAACACAATCGGCGCTGACAAAATTACCATCTGTCAGCTGCAAAAGGCCACCCAACTCAGAGAGGCAAACATTATTCGCCGATACATCACACAGTCCTAGACACTTGGGAAGTGTCTGACGTATGATCCAATACAAGAGCGAACATCATTTCATTTCAATTGGTTCAATCCGAGGATGTGGACAAGGTGCTTGGAGAGGTGAGAGCGACCAAATGCATCCTAGACCCCTGCCATCCTGGCTTTTAAAGGAAACCAGAGGGGGATTGGCCAAGTGGGTGAAGGTGGTGGTTAATGCCTCCCTTCGAGAAGGCAATATTCCAGCCAGCTTGAAACAAGCTGTTATAAAACTGCTGCTGAGAAACCATCACTGGACCCCACTCAATTCGTCAACTATCGGCCTGTTTCCAATCTCCCCTTTTTGGGCAAAGTCCTGGAACGTGGTGGCCTCACAACTCCAGGTATTCTTGGTAGACACGGATTATCTGGATCCGGCACAGTCTGGCTTTAGGCCGGGGCATGGTACCGAGACAGCTTTGGTCGCCTTAGTGGATGATCTGCGTCGGGAGCTCGACGGGGAGTGTGTCCCTGTTGGTGCTGCTCGACCTCTCAGCGGCCTTCGATACCGTCGACCACGGTATCCTTCTGGGACGCCTCGCGGGGATGGGTCTTGGAGGTACTGTTCTGCAGTGGCTCCGCTCATTCCTCGAGGGTCGGTCTCAGAAGGTGTTACTGGGAGACTCCTGTTCAACCCCACAACCTTTGTCTTGTGGGGTTCCTCAGGGTTCAATACTGTCTCCCATGTTGTTTAACATCTACATGAAGCCGCTGGGCGAGATCATCCGGAGTTTCGGAGTGCGATGTCATCTGTACGCAGATGATGTCCAACTCTGTCACTCCTTTCCACCTGCTACTAAGGAGGCTGTCGAGGTCCTGAACCGGTGCTTGGCCGCTGTTACGGTCTGGATGGGGGCGAACAAATTGAAATTGAATCCAGACAAGACAGAGGTACTCCTGGTCAGTCGCAAGGCCGAACAGGGTATAGGGTTACAGCCTGTGTTGGATGGGGCCACACTCCCCCTGAAGATGCAGGTTCGCAGCTTGGGTGTGATCCTGGACTCATCGCTGAGCCTGGAACCCCAGGTTTCGGCGGTGACCAGGGGAGCATTTGCACAGCTAAAGCTTGTGCGCCAGCTGCGCCCGTACCTTGGGAAGTCTGACTTGTCCACGGTAGTCCACGCTCTGGTTACATCCCTTTTAGACTACTGCAACGCTCTCTACGTGGGGTTGCCTTTGAAGACAGCTCGGAAGCTCCAACTAGTCCAACGCTGCAGCCATGATTCTAACAGGAGCGGGGCGCAGGGAGCATACACCTCCTCTGCTGAACCAGCTCCACTGGCTGCCGATATGCTACCGGGCTCAATTCAAGGTGCTGGCGTTGGCCTTTAAAGCCCTAAACGGTTCTGGCCCAACTTATCTAGCCGAACGTATCTCAGCCTATCAGCCCACCAGGACCCTAAGATCTTCTGGGGAGGCCCTGCTCTCTATCCCGCCTGCTTCACATGCGGCTGGCGGGAACGAGAGACAGGGCCTTTTCTGTGGTGGCCCCTCGGCTTTGGAACACCCTCCCCATAGAGGTACGATCAGCCCCCTCGCTGATGGTGTTTCGGAAGAGATTGAAGACATGGATGTTTAAACAAGCATTCGGTTAATCCGTTTGCAACGAATTTTGATGACTAAAGGATTGGTAATCATGGACGATGAATTTTGGACTGCGATTCCCGTTATGAGATGCATGGGATTATTATTGGTGGCCCAATAATTTGTATTGTATATGTGTTTTATGCTTTTAAACTGAATACTGTTTTTTAAATGTTGTAAACCGCAATGAGTCGCCGACTTAGGCTGAGATATTAGCGGTATACAAGCGTATAAATAAATAAAATAAATAAATAAACATAGTGATCTTGTTTGCTGCATTCTAATCTTAAGGTAAAGGTTTTCCCCTGACATTAAGTCCACTCGTGTCCAACTCTGGGGGTTGATGCTCATCTCCGTTTCTAAGCCAAAGACCCGCCATTGTCCGTGGACACCGCCAAGGTCATGTGGCCAGCGTGATTGCATGGATTGCCGTTCCCTTCCCACTAGAGCGGTATCTATTGATCTACTCACATTTGCATGTTTTCGAACTGCTAAGTTGGCTGAAGCTGAGGCTAACAGCAGGTGCTCACCCCGCTCTCTAGATTCGAACCACCAACCTTTTGGTCAGTAAGTTTAGCCGCTCAGCAGTTTAATCCACTGTGCCACCAGGGGCTCCAACTAATCTTGTTATATATCAAATAATAATAATAGAAGAGAAGAGAAACAACTGGAAATGCTGACATGATATGAAGATTTAAAGATTGAACTGTGAAGACTCTGGCACAAGCCAATAAAGGTGGTCCCAGTAGTGATCGGCACACTGGGTGCAGTGTCTAAAGACCTTGGCCTGCGCTTAAACACAATCTGCACTGACAAAATTACCATCTGCCTGCTGCAGAAGGCCACCTTACTGGGTTCTGCACGCATTATTCATTGGAACAGACCTCACTACCTCTGAGGATGCTTACCATTGATTCAAGCAAAACGTCAGGAGAAATACCTCTAGAACATGGCCATATAGCCCGGAAAAACCTACAACAACCCAATTTCCATACTTCCTTATACCACTCCTCTATTTGTATATTTATTTCTATTTTCCAATACCTTGCTATAAGCAGTCTTGCTATTGTAAATAAATTTGTTGTGGCATCTTTATCCTCTGTTTTCAATTGTTTATTATTATATAATGATGATAAAGCTACACTAGGACTTCTTTCTATTTTAATATTCATTATATCTTCTATTTCTCTAAATACTTTCCCCCAAAAATTATTTACATATTTACATTGCCACCACATATGTATATATGTTCCTGATTCTTGACATCCTCTCCAGCAATTTTTTGAATAGTTATTTATATTTGCTATTTTTACTGGTGTTAGGTACCATTTCCATATTAACTTATAATAATTTTCTTTAACCTGTACTGATAAATTTTTAGATGTCTTTGTCTCCATAATTGTTGCCACTCTGTTTCATTTATTTTTATCCCTAAATCTTCTTCCCAGACTTCCTTGAGAATGTTATTTTTTTTGTTTTTCCTTTCTTTATTTCAATTATTATCTTATATATTTTACTACTTATTCCTTTCAAATTTTCATGCTCCTCTACAACCCTTCCATTTTGTATTATTTGTTCAAATTGTTTAAGCTTATTTCCGTTTTTATTATTTCCCCCCCAATTTTTAAACCATTGTTCTAATTGTATGCAATGGAACCATGTCAATTTTATTTCTCTAAATTATTCCATAATCGTTTCCTTCTTCATTCCAACCTTTATTCAGTCCCCCATCTATATATATAAAAATACTCTGTGCATAATGAGTTCCTTAAAAACAAAAGAACCAATGAACGAAATCACACCAAATTTGGCAACAAAATGTCTCACAACACAAGGAGTGACCATCACTCAAAAAATTATGATTTTGTCATTTGGGAGTTGTAGTTGCTGGAATTTATAGTTTACTTACAATCAAAGAGCATTCTGCACTCCACCATTGATGGAATTGAACCAAACATGGCACACAGGACCCCCCTATGACCAGCTCAAAACACCAGAAGGATTTGGTGGCCATTGACATTTCGTTCATTGGTTCTTTTGTTTTTTTTGAGTTTGGGAGTTGTAGTTCACCTACATCCAGAGAGCACTGTGGACTCAAACAATGATGGATCTGGACCAAACTTGGCACGAATATTCCATGTGCCCAAATATGAACTCAGATGGAGTTTGGGGGAAATAGACCTTGACATTTGGAAGTTGTAGTTTATAGTTCCCCTACAATCAAAGAGCATTCTGAACCCCACCAGTGACAGAATTGGGGAAAACTTCCCACACAGAACCCCCATGACCAACAGAAAATACTTAAGGCCATCCAATCCCACTCTCTTCATCAGGGCAAGAAAACATAATCAAAGTCCTCCTGACAAAGAGCCATCCAGCCATAGATAGATAGATAGATAGATAGATAGATAGATAGATAGATAGGAATAGATATATATGATTCTCACACACAGAGATATAGTATCATAGATTTGAAAGGGACCCTTAAAGAAGGACAATGATATGTTGCATGTTCCAGAGTAGGCAAACCAGACACTCTCCACATCAACACTGACAAAGAAACAGCAAGAAATACTGTTTATCAACAAGCAGAAATAAATTACATATATTAGAAACCAACACTTTCTCGTTACTTTATTTTCCAACAGACTGGGCCACAGCAACGCGTGGCAGGGGACAGCTAGTTTTGTCTAAATTGGGAAGTGTTCGACTTGTGATTTTGTGATACGAAATCGAGCATATAGATCTCGTTTGCTGTGACATATGATAGCCATGTATAAATATGTGAGAGGAAGCCACAGGGAGGAGGAAGCAAGCTTGTTTACTGCTTCCATGGAGATTAGGACAAGGAACAATGGCTTCTAACTACAAGAGAGGCGATTCCATCTGAACATGAGGAAGAACTTCATGACTGTGAGAGCCGTTCAGCAGTGGAACTCTCTGCCCCGGAGTGTGGTGGAGGCTCCTTCTTTGGAAGCTTTTAAACAGAGGCTGGATGGCCATCTGTCAGGGGTGATTTGAATACAATATTCCTGCTTCTTGGCAGGGGGTTGGACTGGATGGCCCATGAGGTCTCTTCCAGCTCTTTGATTCTATGATTCTATGACATACTGTGCTTTTGTGTCAGAAAAATAATAATATGACATGGCGGCCTTGAGGGTGGCACATGTACAGACTCGAAGTCGCCTTCCCGGCCTTAGAAGAGGAAGAGGATTCTCTCCGGAGACAGCCGGAAGCGCTCTACATTGTAAGGAAGCCGCGCTCTATGGTTGCGGTGGGTCGCGCGCCCTCAGTGCGCAGGCGCAGTGATCCGTTGCTGCTGCCGCCGCCTTCGCGGCCTGTGGAAGGCCCGCTCTCTCTCCGCCGCCGCCATGTACCCGACGTGGGGCATGTACGGGGCGGCCCCGGGGCCTTACCCGCCGCCCGGCATGATGCCGCCGCCGCCTCCCGCCATGCCGGGCCCTCCGCCGGCCGTCCTGCCGCCTCCCACGGCCCTGAGCGGCTACGGCGGGCCCTCGGCGGCGCCCTCCTCGGCGGGGGGCTTCCTCAGCTTCCAGGAGCAGCACTTGGTCCAGCTGCAGCAGCTCCAGCAGATGCACCAGAAACAGCTGCAGTCGGTGCTGCTGGGCGGGGGGCCCGCTCCGCCCGGGGGCCCTCCTCCGAGCCTGCCGCCTCCGCTGCCCACCTCGCCGTGGCCTAACGCCCCGCCGCCTCCGCCGCCGCCGGCGCGGAGCTACCAGCAGCAGTTCCAGCACCGCGAGCCGGCCTTCCGCAATGCCGCGCCGGAGGAGGCCTCCGAGCCGGCCCAGGCGCCCGAGGCGTGGAAGGGCCCCGCCAGCAGCCTGGAGATGGACATGGACCTCTCTTCCTCGCCGCCGCCCCCCGGCGGAGCTGCCCCTTACGCGGCCGGGCCCGCGCAGAGCCAGGCCTCGCCTCAGGCTTACCTGCCTCACGCGCAGGCCGCCGCCTCCTCCTCCTCGTCGTCGCAGGCCTTCCCGGACCCCGTGCCCCCCGTGGCTTCTGCTGCGCCTCCCGCCGCCTGCCAGGCTTACCAGCCCGCCTCCCAGCTGCCGCCCCAGCCCCCCAAGCCCGAGTCTTGCTTGCCCGAGTCGGGGAAAGGCCCCGACTTAGAGGTTAGAGGGGACCTGCAGCAAAGCGCCCCCAAAACAGACGTCTCCTCCATGAATCTCCAGGTAAGAACAACCCACACGCAGACACCTTGTCATGTGAATGGAAAATACCTGGGTTACAACTAAGGCTAGGAGTGTCAAAGTGTAGCATGATCGAGGAAGGTTTTCACGGCTGGAATCACAGGGCTGAAGTGTGGTTTCCGGGCTGTTTTGCCACGTTCTAGCACAGGCATGGGTAAACTTTGGCTCTCTAGGTGTTTAGGACTTCAACTCCCACAATTCCTAACAGTGCAAACTTTGGTCCTCCTGGTGTTTAGGACTTGTAACTCTCACAATTCCTAACAGCGCAAACTTTTGTCCTCCAGGTATTTGGACTTCAACTCTCACAATTCCTAACTATGCAATTTTTGGCTCTTTAGGTGTTTAGGACTTCAACTCCCACTATTCCTTACAGCGCAAACTTTTGCCTTCCAGGTGCTTTGGACTTCAACTCCCACAATTCCTAACAGTCCAAACTTTGGTCCTCCGGGTGTTTAGGACTTCAACTACCACAATTCCTAAGCGTGCAACTTTGGTCCTCCAGGTGTTTAGGACTTTAACTCCCACAATTCCTAACAGTGCAAACTTTGGTCCTCCGGGTGTTTAGGACTTCAACTCCCACAATTCCTAAAAGTGCAAACTTTTTCCCTCCAGGTGCTTTGGACAAACTCCCACAATTCCTAACAGTGCAAACTTTGGTCTTCCTGGTGTTTAGGACTTCAACTCCCACAATACCTAACAGCACAAACTTTTGCCCTCCAAGCGCTTTGGACTTCAACTCCCACAATTCCTAACAGGAAAACTTTGGCCCTCCAGATGCTTCGGACTTCAGCTACCACAATTCCTGACATCCAGTAGGCTGTTAGGAATTATGGGAGTTGAAGTCCAAAACACCTGGAGGGCCAAATTTTCCCATGCCTGTTCTAGCGGCATTTTCTTCTGATGTTTTGCCTGCATCTGTCGCTGGCCATACAGCCCGGAAACCACACAACACCCCTTCACCCTGATTGATTGGTTATGCTGTGTTATTCTTCCTGCGTGTGTATACGTATATTTTTTAGAATGGACGGCTCATTGTTTTTGCTTGTTCTGACTATGATTCTATGATTTCCGTATGTGTCCGTATCTCTCATAAAGGGCTGGTTTAACCTCCAGTTTGCTAGTAAAACTGAATCATTGTGTTGCAAAATGATGCCTCTCTAAAAAGTGTGTCACCAACATGAAATGTTTAGAAAGCTCTGAAATAGAGAATAATTCTTCTGATTCATTTGTTCCTGGTTTGAAAGTATTATTTATTTATTTACTGCATTTTTGCCTTGCTCTATCTCACCCCGGAGGGGACTCAGAGTGGCTTCCAGTTTGGCAATAATTTAATGCCACATTGAAACATAAAAGCATATTTAGTTTGAAAGGAGTTGTTATATTCCAGAAGTTTCATTTTTGTGCATGCCACAAACTATATTGAGTTGGTTGAGACTCTTGAATTTTAAACACGTGTCCTTCGTTTAATCTCTGTTTTGTGCATTTTAATATGTATTTTATAAAGATAAGTTTTAATATGTGCATTTGTGATATTTTTACAATGTTTATGTGTTTTAACTGTGTTACGTTAAGTTTTTCATAATTTGCTTTTAATTGCAGTATTACAATGTCTGTGGTATAATATAATATGGGGCATTGTATTGCAATCAGAAACTACATTTATCTGATACCTACCAGTCCCCATTGATGCCAGTTATCTGAAAAAAATGCTGCACTCGCAGAGCTCAGATTGTGTTGTATTTTAATAATTATGTTGACTTTTGTGAAGAGGTGGCTGCCAAGGTAGCAGAAATTGTCTACATTTATAATGTTATACCATTAATCTGTATTTCTGGCATCACAGGGGAATTGGCTTGTGCCTGCTGAAAGAACACTTTGGTTTTCTCGATGTTCAGTGAGAGGCCAAGCTTTTCATATGCTTCTGCGAAAGGTGTTTAGAGTGGCTTGTAGATCTCCTTCTGAATGAGCACAGACTACGTTGTCATCAGCACATTGGAGTTCTATAACATGTTGTTGCAACCTTGATTTTGACTTTCAGGCTGCTGAGGTTAAATAGCTTGCCATCTGTCCGATAGACGATTTACACACCGGTGGGTAGCTTCCCATCAACAAGGTGCAGTGTCATAGCAATGAAGATGAAGAATAATCTTGAGCCAATAACACATCCCTGTTTGACACCTGATTCCACCTTAAATGAGTCACTTTGGGAGCCATTGCTGTCCAAGACTCTTGCCATCATGTCATCAAGGAGGAGCTGTAGGGCGTCTGATTTTTTTGCATGATGGTAAAGAAAGCACAGCGATTCACTGTGTCGATGAATGCCATGTACAGAGGTTGATTTTGTTCCCTGCGTTTTTCTTGGAGCTGTTGAGCAGTGAACATCATATCCACTGTTCCTCTGGAGGGGTGGAAGCTGTTCTCGGATTCTGAGAGAATGTCTTCTGAGATAGGTATAAGGCGATTTGCAAGGATTCTTGCGAGGATTTTCCCAGCAGAGTTTAGAAGGAAGATACCTCAATAGTTTCTACAGTCTAGTCTTTCCCCCTTTCTGAAAAGGGTGATGATAGTAGCATCCTTGAGGTCTGCTGGAATTTTCTCAGTCACTCATACTTTTTCAATGAGCTGGTGCAGTTGTGCCCACCCTCTTTAAAGATTTCAGCAGGGATCCCATCATGTCCACTGGCTCAAACTAGGCAGTGCTGCAAGCTCATTCCTTGTTTATTATTGCGAGATTTGCAATAGAACTTAGTTGGAGTTGCGGTTAAGGGGGTTATGGTAGTGTTCTTTCCAATGTAGTGCAATGGAATTTTTTTCCTTCAGAAATTTGGTCCCATAAGATGAACATAGAGGGTGTACGCCATGATTTGTTGGGCCATAGATGACCTTTATGGCATTAAAGAATCCCCGTGCATCATGGACATCTGCAAAGTGTTGGATTTTTTGAGCCTTTTTTGCCCACCAGATGTTTTTAACTTCTCTGGTCCTTCTTTGGACCTCAGCTTTTGCATTGGCGTAGCAGCACAGTTGGTGTCTTTCTGTCATATTTGGAAGGCTTTCCTTTTTTATCAATACACTGCTGTATCTCGGTTGGTTTTTCTTAGTTTGGTATTCAGTAGTTTCTTCACAGGTTGTGATGATAGAGGTCTTCAGTTTATTCCAGTGTTTCTCAACATTTTCAGGGTGTTCTATGGGAAGATGATCCTTGAGTGTTGTTTGAAGAAGGGCTTGTTTGGATGGCTCTTAAAGGGCTTGGGTGTTCATTTTACGCCCTCATCTTTCTTCCTTGGAATCTGCATTTGGGGCGATCTTGATGGCCATCATGGATTGAATGTCTGTCCAGCAGTCATCATCGGCTGTCATGGCTGTTGTGAGAAGCACATCACAGCAGTATCTGGCACGTATAATGACATAGTCTAAGACAGGGGTCCTCAAACTAAGACCCAGGGGCTGGATACGGCCCTTCAAGGTCATTTACCCGTCACTCGCTTAGGGTCAACCTAAGTCTGAAATGACTTGAAAGCACACAACAAGAACAATCCAATCTCATCAGCCAAAAGCAGGCCCATACTTCCCGTTGAAATGCTAATAAGACATTTGTTAAAAATGTTCTTCATTTTAATTATTGTATTGTTTTTAAGTGTTTTTTCTCGCACTACAAATAAGATACGTACAGTGTGCATGGGAATTCATTCACTCTTTTTTCAAATTATAATCCGGCCCTCAAACAATTTGAAGGATTCTGACCTGGCCCTCGGTTTAAAAGTTTGAGTATCCCTGGTCTAAGAGGTGCCAATTCTTTGACCGGGGTGCTTCCATGATGTCTTAAACTTGTTTTTCTGGTGGAAAAGCATCTTGGTGATGACAAGTTTGTGTTCCAAACATTTGGTGAGAAGCAGGATGCCATTTGGTTTGCTGTTTCTAACCCCATATTTTCCTGTAGTCCCTGGCCATAGTTAGAAGTTCCATACAACTCTTGCATTAAAATCGCCCAGGAGGATGATTTTGTCTTCTTCAGGTATCTCCGACAGGATGGTATCCAGCGGACAATAAAAATTGTTTCCTTGATTTCTTCAGCAGCATCTAATGTTGGTGTATAGGCACTTAAGATAGTTGCCTGTTGGTTTTTGGCAAGGTTAATTCGGAGGGTTGGGAGTCATTCATTAATGCCGATGAGTGCTTCGGACAGATGCTTCAACAGGTTATTTCTGATATGAAAGCTGACTGTGTGTATTCTTCTTCAGGTAGTCCCTTCCAAAAGAAGGTGTAGTCTTCTTTTTCCTCCTCCAACTCTCTCTTCCCTCCCCCCCCCCCCCCCCCCCCCGGGTCTCTATGGGTCTCTTGAAGTGCTGCTATGTTGATGTTAAAGCATTTCAGCTCCCTTGCAATAATAGCAGTGCTACATTCAGGACATTCACTGTCTGTTTTGTCCAAAAATTTAAAGTCCCGTTTAAATAAGTATTTGCCTGGTAGTGAAGGGAGGTCAAGAAAACGATCAACTAAGCATTCCTTGGAACAAAGAGGGGAATGGGGCTGAGGGAGGGCGCTCCAGTTTACATATGGATATGTGAGTTTTTATATAGTCTGGGCCTAAGACATATATGACTTTAGAAGTCATAACCAGTAATTTGAATTGTTTCAAGAAACAAATCCGTAGCCGTTTAAGCTGTTTCAACAAGGGATTTATGTACTCCTAAAAAACAACATGTAATATATATTTTATAATCCAAATGGGATGTAATCAGTGCATGTGTTAATCACAACTAGATCTGATTGCACTAGAAAGAGGCATAGCTGAAACACTAGTTCTGATGCTCCAGACATGCTCCTGACCACTAGTTCTGATGTTACAAACATGCTCAACTTTGAACCTGGGCATTCCGGTTCAGAGCTGAGAGCAACAGCCATAAAGTTTCAGGATTCAGCACAGTCTGAATCCAGGATTCAGCATAGTCTAAATCCCTCTTTCCTGATCTGCCTTCTGA